GTTCGTGATCTGGTAGATTGCTCCAGTTTCTCTTGCCGGGTGAATTGCCCGTTTTCTTCACAAGGAAAGCTCGTGGCATGGTCTATTCCCGAGGTCCTTCCCCGCTATCTCTCAAAATTAAAAAGCAGGCTTTTAAAAAAACACCGACCTACTTTTGGAAAAACTGCTCTACAATACAAAATAAGTGTGAGGTCCTTCTTAGATGGTGTCTTCAATTGCCTTTTTCTCAGTTTGGAAAAGCAAAAGCCGAGCTCTTCGCTCTATACACGCACACCTCTTGACTCAAACTTTTTGTACCTGTACAGGTTTCCGTGGAGCTACATTCACCCGCTTCCGCCGTCTTCCGCTACTCTGAACTCACGAAGTCTTGCTCGGAAATTCACTCAGTCCGGTAGGTTAAGACACAGCTAGGTGTCTTTGTCAAGGTGGGAGGTGATGTTTGTGGCAGGTAAATAGTCCAAACTGCTCAACCGACGCACTACAAAGCGAATTTCAGTGGCTCATTAGAGCGCAGGTACACATTTCATGAGGAAATATGCAACAATGCGCATGCGTCTGAATATAACGGTGACAACAAACCCGACCCAGTCCGGCCTCAGCGTCTTACCTGTCCAACCGGTTTTCTCTCTCTCTCTGTCTCCCCCTCCCTTGAACAATTCCGCTTCAAGGTGGCAGCGAAGTGAATGTAGAGGTAATGTGGTAAGGCGAGGCAAGATGTGACGAAAGACGAGCTAAAAAGAAATCTTACACCGATTGTATACAGTTAAAGTTGCCTATTACGCCATGTAAAAAAAACGTGTAGTTTCTTCTTTGGGGGTTTTCTCTTAAGTGCATATACACTAACCCAACTTTTGGGTTAAAAATGTAATTGAAAAATTTAACCCAACAGTTGGGTTAGTCCATATTTGACCGAAAGTTGGGTTAAAACAACCCAGCGTTTTTTAGAGTGTATATGCATTTAAATATAGACAAAACAGCTCATATTTTTTTTAGTGTAGACACTAACTCAAATTTGTTTATTGTTCATTAGACCAAGCATTAGATATGGGAACAGCCAGTGATGTGATAGTTTCCTTGTAACTCAACTGCCAAGTGCAACTGCATGCGCTTTGTTCCTCTGAAAATAAAACTTGAACAATGTTGCACTGAAACTTTTGAGGCCTAATCCCCCCAGCATTTCACACCTTATTAATGAGGCAACTGATAACAACAGTTAAACTAACAAAAATGTCTCAAGTGTAGGCTACACAAAACAGCAGTCCATCATGATGCTAATTAAACTATTAGGACAATTCTCAGTTCCAGCGGTTTCTTGTTGGCATGCAAGTTTCTGAAGACCATAGCTGCAGTTTTGAAGTTTCGCTTAAGCTGAGATGTGTGGCAGTAAACATACTGTATATTTTCCAAAAATGATCATGCTGTACTTAGGCCTGCAGAGTGCTTGCATGATATGAAAACCAAACTTTACATGAAATCCTAAAATGCTTATATTTTCTTGTCATGTTAGCTGTAAATGACCTAGATAATGGGAGGAGACGAGAGAACAATATATAAATGGAAACAGGCTGAGGTAAAAAAAAAAAAAAAAGCAAACAGGCGGAAAGATGAAGACATGATAGCACAAATGAGAAAGAGAAAGACTTTGAGTGAAAGAAGGAGTGTTAGGTGTGCAGAATGACAGGTATGCTGTCTGGGCTGTTGGAGTGGTTGAGGCTGAACATTAGGCTTAATGTTTTTTTTTATTTTTTTTTATCAGCCTCTCCATCCTTCCCTCACTAAAAATGCTCTTTAATACTTAATCTGAGAAATTATCACAATTTTAAACTTTTAGGGATCTATACGTGACAATACAGTCAACGTTTCCAGACTCTGCAGGCCTTGCATTCTACAAGCCTTTATAAATCAGTTCAGCCCCAAGACGGAAGTCCCATACTGTAACCTTACTGTTACAAACATAGGTCTCAAAGATGGAGACGTTGGCTGCCATGCAAGTAGAGCTGGCAGGAGGGCAAGAGTCAGTACATTCAAGCTCAACCTGATAGACAGCCTGCTACGACCATTTCTCTGACAATCACCCCATCCCTTCCCCCATTTCTCTTCTTCTCGTCTTGCTCAGAGCCTGCTTTGCTTCATTCACTTCTAAGCCATAGGAATGACTGGTAGTGACTTTTACTAAAGCTATGGGTTTTTTCCACAGCTGGGTGGAGTTGTGACCAGCATGTATTACTGTCACAGTATTTGTGTGACATGACTTTAGCGTGCGTCACACCTGTTGAACAGAATCGATTTGCGGTCTGAAAAGGTAGTTTGGAAAAACTCTTCTCACAGATCCACATTCTACAGTGTATTAGTGAGGAATGTTCGCTACCATTGAAATATGGTAATAGTCATCTCACACACAAGCTCTCTCATTCTGCTTTTTTTTGTTATGTCAGTTGTACGTTCCTGCTTGGCTTGTTACACCTGTGATTTCTGCCATGATAAAACTTAAAGTTCACATGATGCCATTTTTTCTTAATAATCATCTGTTGAACTTCCTGGAATTCTTTATACACTCTAAAAAATGCTGGGTTAAAAAGGGACAAACCCAGCTATTGGGTTGTTTCGACCCAGCGGTTGGGTTGTTTTGCCCCAACCACTGGGTCAAAATAACCCAACCGCTGGGTCAAAAAAACCACCCAACCGCTGGGTCAAAAAAACCACCCAACCGCTGGGTCAAAAAAACCACCCAACCGCTGGGTCAAAAAAACCACCCAACCGCTGGGTCAAAAAAACCACCCAACCGCTGGGTCAAAAAAACCACCCAACCGCTGGGTCAAAAAAACCACCCAACCGCTGGGTCAAAAAAACCACCCAACCGCTGGGTCAATAAAACAACCCAACCGCTGGGTCAAAAAAACAACCCAACTGCTGGGTCAAAAAAACAACCCAATCGCTGGGTCAAAAAAAACAACCCAACCACTGGGTCAAAAAAACAACCCAACCACTGGGTCAAAAAAACAACCCAATCGCTGGGTCAAAAAAACAACCCAACCGCTGGGTCAAAACAACCTAACCGCTGGGTCAAAACAACCCAAACGCTGGGTCAAAACAACCCAACTGCTGGGTCAAAACAACCCAACAGCTGGGTTTGTCCCTTTTTAACCCAGCGCTGGGGGATTATATTTAACCCAGCATTTTTTAGAGTGTAGCTATTTATTCTCATCGCTATCTTTTTTCCTTCATTATTAAGTGGCAGCATTTGCCACGTGGAATTGTTTTGATGTATTTTTCTTTTACCTTATGAGGGCATATTGTCTTCAAACCAGTGTTCTTCAAACCAGACTTCTAATGAATCAATTAATTAAAGTAATTTTCATTATGAAGATCATTATAGGCTAGCTGGTAGTCATCAAATCAAAATGGAAAAAAGTAGCTAAGTAATGACAACTATGGGACTAAGGGAATGAATAAGGAAATGTAAAACTAGTAAGGGCTCTGCTTGCATTTAAAAAAATAATTGGTTAGTCTCTATGTATATACTGTCTATGCTCTCATTTTAGGAGTTGTCTGTATGTTCAGTTTTTTCAGAGCTTTAATGAAATTATTTTAATGAAAGCATATTTCATGTTAGCTACACATTCAACAACATACACTTCTGAGGCAGTAAATATAAGCACAGCTACAGTAGTTTAGCACGATATCTACAGAGATATTTAAACTTTTCGGAACTGAATATATCAACCGAGCACAAAATATCAATGACATAAATCAAGTATTCAAAAATAAAAATAAAGGAATTTACCACAGAGCATTTTTGCTACTACATTTGAAATATTTTGGGTATTTTTGCTCAAGCTCTGGTTAATTTCTGACCACAATTCATATTTTTATTAATTTTCCTTATAGTAGACCTTGAATGCCCATTTCATGCACATACCCATTTGTTGAATTCAAGTGAAATTTACAGATGCTACATAAGTAACTTTTGCACTAATTTCAGATGCAAGTATTAAATTAGTTTTAGTCATGTTTTAGAAGTGATAATATCAAACATAAAACACAAAAATAGCTGGTGCCTGAGAACAGGAAAAACAAAAAGGATTTATTAAATACAATTTAAAACAACACCCCAAAAAAGTCAGTAAAAATAGGCTGCAATGTACTGTGTTAATATGAAGGAATTTTCTGTATTGATTTTTTTCCCCACAGATATTTTACCTGTTCCATACCTTTTTGTTTTTTCTACTTTTTTTTAACAGTGAAAAAAAAAAAAATCAAAACTCATAAATGCATGTAGATGAATTAAATAAAGCATATAGGGAGACAGGACTAAATGTCACAGTTTTACTAATAATTCTCATTCTATATTTACTTTTGAACGTACATTTCTGAATAGACACATACCTTAAAATCTTTGCAACAAAAATATTGAACATTACGCTATTGATGCCCAAAAGAAAAAAAAAAGTTTATTGAACACACTATGTTGACAACATGCATATTGGGCCATGTTGTCACAATGGAAACTGCCATTAAGTATTCTATTATATGCGTTTCAGACAAATTCAAACAATAAAACGACTAATAAATACAGAACAATAGATACTGAGATATTGCTGTTGTGACTATCCTTGGTCTCCCTTATATGTTCCATATGGATCAGTCTACCAGATTGGCAGTGGCATCTCTTGGCAGGTCAGCATCTGTGAAGTTTGCGTTATGTAGTTTTATATGCCAATAAGTCATAAAAGGGCCGTTTGGATAGATGGCGAAGACGAATGTAACCACGTGTTTGCGTTAGGAAACGTTAGCAAAAAAGTGCAGTTCTAAAACCAGTAGGTCTGCCACCTGGCGGCGCGTTGAGGAAACGCAGCCTCGCCGTCTCCAGTCAGCCCTCGGGTATTTTCTCTCTGACAGTTACTTTTTGACATGCTGCAACACGAACGATGCACAGATAGAAAATACCGTTAGGATTTGGTTTGGGAGTTACCTAGAGCTGTAAAAACAACAATGTAAAGACAGTTAGTGTTGATTACAGTGTCATTAACAGACACGAGGTGGTTGTAATGGTTTTATGTAAGAGTAAGCAGTATAACTGTAGTCTCACTCCACTGTTGGGAAATAGGGCCCAGTCTTGGTACTAAGGTATATGAAAGAGAGAAAGGGTGGGATGTTATAAAGTAAGAAATTACCTGCAGAAACTTGCCATCTGACTAATGTTTATTTCCTCGTGTTCAAGTACACTCATCATAACAGAAACTTTAAAGGGGTCATATGATGCTGCTAAAAAGAACATTATTTTGTGTATTTGGTGTAATGAAATGTGTTTATGCGGTTTAAAGTTCAAAAAACACATTATTTTCTACATACTGTACATTATTGTTTCTCCTCTATGACCCGCCTTTCTGAAACGCGTCGATTTTTACAAAGCTCATCGGTCTGAAAAGCGAGGTGTGCTGTGATTGGCCAGCTATCCAGTGCATTGTGATTGGCCGAATACCTCAAGCGTGTGAC